GTTGCACAGGGCCAGACTTGTGATTCTCTTGTTATTGTTCTTTCGTCTGTCTCTGGCAGGAAGCTTAGCAGCTTTGTTTCTGTGCTCTCCTCAGGTGGTGGACATCATGCGTGTGAATGTGGACAAGGTCCTGGAGAGGGACCAGAAGCTGTCAGAACTGGATGACCGAGCTGATGCCTTGCAGGCGGGAGCATCACAATTTGAGAGCAGTGCTGCAAAGCTAAAGAGGAAGTACTGGTGGAAAAACTGCAAGGTGAATTTTCTTCTTCGATCCTTCTTTTCCTGGGCTTCCACTGGTAGAAGGCAAGCAAACCCTCGGCTTCTACTTTTCTTCCCTCTAATGGCGCAGGATCTCTCTGACCCGCATAGCTTGGAAGGAAATCTGGAAAGCCTCCTCTTGAGATTGCATTACCCAGAAGTGGCCACTAGGGCAGGCTAGAGTATTCAGAACTGCTACCGGAGGAAAAGTGATACCCTGAGGAGTTGGAATCGTCAGTTAAGGAGCTTTTCCCCAAAGCAGTTGCTTGCCAAAATTTTCACCTGTCCCATTCTCAGACACCCCAACATCAGCCCAATGGCTCAGGCACGTTTTTTCCTTTTTCTTTTAAATTAGCTTTCTCAGGTTGAAATATATATTTTAAAAATAACTGCAACTTTTGGGAATGAGCCGAACACTTCACAATGAAAAATTGAACCAATTGGTTAAATATCCAGTGTGTATCTCTATTGGAATGCCTTCTAAAGCCCCACAACACTAGGAACTGAGCAAAAAGGAGCCCAGTGCAGGTCCTGTGATGAATCTGAAAAGCTACAGACGTGCTGGGGTTATGATCCCATGGGAAGCAGAGGGTAGGGTCTCTGTAAGAGGCCCGTAGTTCTGGGTGATGATTTTTTCCCACCACCAAGGATGGAGGAAATTCTTTCCCACTAGAGATGTGGCTCTTTTCCTCATTCCCGGATTCCAAGGGCTCATTTTTTGTTCACATGTTTCCTCAGATGATGATCATGCTGGGAGCCATCTGTGCCATCATCGTGGTAGTTATTGTAAGTAAGTATCGCTGAGGTTGCTGGTGGGGTGAAGAGGTGGGAAGGTCCTGGAGTCTTCTCCCTGCCTGCCTGCCTGCCTGCCTGGGGAGTGGGGCTGCTCTGACTGAGGTATGGAGACCACTGCTATGGGATCGTCACCTGGTTGGGGAGTGGGGAAGGGCAGAGACAAGGGATTTCTTTGATGGACAAGCCTTCCCCCTGCAAGGCATTGCAGGGAGACGGTCCCTCCTGTTCTGAGGAAGTGGGGCTATGCTGTGTGTCACTGGCTTGGGTTGGAGGGAGACCGTGGGGATGGGGCACTTACAATGGAAAGACCTGAGTGTCTGGTAACTTGGTGTAATTTGCCCTCTTGTTTTTTCCTGTCTCTTTCTCTTTTCCATCTGGGACTTCCTGATTCCTGTGTCCAGTCTACTTTTTTACTTGAGAATGTGCCACCCCTTCCCTGTTCTCCATTGCCATCCTCACTCATGTCCTCTTCCCTCTGTTTGCTCTCTCAGCACACTTCCCCACCCTCCATCCTCCATCTCAGCCCAGGCTTCTCCATCACCCATTCCTCCTTTATTGTTTCGTTCATTTGCACTCTGTCCCTCAACACTAGAAATGCTGCTCGTGGCACAATCTAAGTCACTACCTGAAGAGCAATGGCTGGTGCCTCCTTTCCACCCCCTTCTCCTGTACTCTCAAGTTCCCCCAAAGCCCAAAAGAGTTGGAGGCTGATGGATGGGGCAGGGAGGGGAGTGGCTGAGGCGAAGTGTCTGCGAAGCTGCCCAGACCTGGGAGGAGAGCATCGGTGCCCGTAGTGTCTCCTAGAAAGGCCTGGCCGCTAGCAAAAGATGGGGTGGGACTGGGAAGGTGGCAGCTCACTCAGTGCCACCTGGTCATGTGGAAGTTTCCTCCTGGGCCAGGCCTGGAGAGGGTCCTGCGGGTGGACAGGAGTCCAGTTGGTTCCAGTGCAGCACCGTTTTGAAAGTAAAACCTGCTTTTTATAGTTATTTCTAATTTGTTCATCCAGGATTTACTATGTCCTTGGGATATTACAACTTTGCTCTCCAGCGGCCTGGAGAACACTTATGAATTATGAAAATAGCAGGGCTTGTTTCCATGCTAGAAGCAGCCCATGTGCTTCCGGCTGGAAGGAACTTTCTCTTCTTTACATTTTCTACAGCATTCCGTATGAGGGCACCAAATAATTTCATCTAGCCAGTAATTTTCTCTAGTCAAATAATTTCACCTAGCTCCCAGGTAATTGTTGGCATAAAGAGAGAGAATGCCTGTTAGTTACAGAGAAACAGTGAGTCAAATGCTTAATTTGAAAGTAACAAGCTCAGAGGAAGCCACTCCTTGCCCTCGTTAAAGAGGGTCCCATTCCTCTCTTCCTGTTGATGAAGGAGCTTGAGGCTGTTAGCAGTGAGATCTTTGGACACCATGGGATCCTTTCCTCCATACCACCTGTGCACTTGCCAAAGACAGGGATAAGGCAAGAGGTCCCGCCTGAGGACCAGCCAATCCTGAGGATGCGGAGAAGTCGTGTAGACCCACCAGCCCCATCTTGGGGGGAGGTGTGCCAGTCTGTGACAGGTGTGCTTGTGTATTGCTGTGCTATTGAGGGGCCCTCTCCTCGAGACCACCTCTCTGTTCTTCCTGCAGTATGTTCCCCTTCAAACCACCCTTACCTGTCTGAATTCTACTTTGGCTCCTTTCTCTTCCTTCTCTTTGCATGGCTTGTATATATAGACAGTGGGACATGAGGATGGGAGCGGCTCAGCCCATCTTGGGGGCAGTTTCTGAGCTTCAGGATAGGCTGTTAATGTGGGATAAACCCAGGTGCGAGGGGAGGAGGGCAGGCTGGGAACTGAGGGGGGAATGCCCATGGCCCTTTATTCCTTCCTCCCTCCCGTCCACAAATAGGAAGAGGCTGAGGCCATGCCAGGCAGGGTCTGGGTGCCCACTTTCCATGCAGCAGCATTTCACTGTGCAAAACCATCCTTCCTTTCCCTTCGCCCTTGTTTCCCACATTCCCTTCGTCCTGCCCCAGGGCAGGACTGAAGAGCTGGAAGAAAGCAGTCAGTGTACCCTCCCAACGGTCCCCCTCGAAGGTCTCCACTCTCCTCTGGGCTCCTCCTTGCCTAATGCAGGGGGTCACTGCTGGAGAAGAACCACCACTGTCCTCGATGTGTCCCGAGCCTGGAGCAAAGCTGTCCTCTTGGCTCTCCCAGCCCTATCACAGGAATCATTCCTGGGTTTCTGTCCCTCTGAGGCTCACCAGGGGTAGTTGGCTTTGTTCTTTTGGGGGTCTTAGCCCCTCTACTTTCTTTCTCTCCCACCCTGTACCCTCTTCTGTGTGTCTTTGCTATCCCCCTTCCCTCCCACCACCCATGTGCATGAGCAAATGTGCAACTAAACCCCGGGACTTTGCAGTCAAATGAAGCTTCCCACATCCCCTTCTTCGGTTCCCATGAGACGATGTGGGGTTTCCACTGTGTGTCTGTCATCACCTCTTTGTCTTTTTTCCTAACCCTGATCTCATACTTGTATAGAGTAATAACAACAGTTGTACTTCCACCAAAGGCATGTGGCATATTTACCAATTTCATGTATTCTGAACAAAGGCAAAAAATACAAATTCCTACCACTGAACTGGCTTGGTTGTTGTTTGGGTTGGAGTAGCTGGGAGGCAGGTGGGGAGGAGTGTCGTTTCTTTCCTTCTAGTAGTCTCATGTCGCTTTAGGTCAGCTGGGCTGGCTTACGTGTGCTGTGCGGTCTTCACGGAGATGGGAGCTCTGTGTGTCGGCACAGGAAGTGGTCTCCCAGCATTCAGCCTGAACCAGCCCAACTCTTGTAGGTGCTACTGAGAGGAAGTGAAGACGGGAAGTTGCGTGGGCATCTCACACTGGCAAATAAGCTCAGGTTCCCTCAGGCCTCTTCCATCTGCTTCCTTCCTAGGTCCTTGGTCTGCTTGTCCTGTCCCAGGGGATGTGCCCAGATAAAGCTGTGAAAACCCCCTTTTCCCCATCATCCTCATGTACAGTTTTGGTATGCTGAGTTCTAGCGTATTGACCAGGCACATTTTAGAAATGAATAAAAGGAGAAATCTCTCCCTTGCAGCTGAGGGAGCGAGGCATTTGCAGGTATCCTGAAGTTACCAGCAGTTACCTGAAGGAGCAGAACCCTGATTGCAGCTGAGATGCAACTCCATGGACCGGAGGGGGGATGCAGCCCTCTGAGGGTCTTTGTTTCATACCTTAAACACTTTGCAAGTTGGAGCCACCAGGCTGGGGGACAGGGCTCAGCTGGGACCAGTGTGGAGAAAGACAGGAAGGTGGAAAAGCTTGGTCACAGCAGACACAAAGGGCTTTTATTTTTGACTGAGTTTGGGAGTGGTAGCCCAGCCCCCACCTGTGCCCCATTGTCCCTCACTTGTTCCTTCTCCATTTCTTCCAGCTTTTTTTTCCTGTTCTGTGCTTTGGTGCATGAGCCCAGGGTGCACGGTGAAGGAAGGCAGAGGCCTATGCAGAGCCAGGGCTAGTGCCCCGTGAGCTGGTGCCACCTTCATGCCTTCTTAGCCCTGTGACTTGATTTAGAGTCCTTCTTTGAGCACGTGACTACTTTCTTTCTACTCTGAGGCAGCAGAGTGGCTACCCAGAGTGCCTTAGAGTCTTGACAGTGAGGAAGCTAGGAGAAAACAAGAGGGAACAAGACTGGTTTCATTTTCATCTAGGGCAAACACTGAAGCAGGGGACTGTGATGGGTGGGTGGGTGGCCGGAACTTGGGGTATCTGGGCTTCCACCCTTGTCTGGGTGGGGAGGTGGTTAGAGTGGGTAAGGTGGGCCAGGGCCAGAGCCAAGGGCAACCAGGCTCTTACCTTGCCGTCTCTGAAGCCCCAGGAACAACAGTGCAAGAAGGAAGAGGCTGCTGGCAAAGATGACTCCCAAGCCGGTTCTCTGTTCTGTAGGCGAGAGCAACATGTGCAGCAATCATTGTGGGCAGGAATCATCAGCTGAGCCCTCACCTGCAGCGTCTGCTCCAGGGAGGAGGAGCTAAGGAGTGTGTGTGTGAGTCCCTGATTGAGAAACCTGGAAGAGGCACCCAGCAGCAATTCAAGGTTGCTGGATATTCATGGGTTATTCCACACAGAATTCTCTACCTCTTCCCACTTAAGGACAAAGTTTTAAAAATTGCTTTGCAAGTGATATTTAGGTTGGTTTATTTGTTAACAGTTAACTGAGCTGGACACGGTGGCTCATGCCTGTAATCCCAGCACTTTGGGAGGCTGAGACGGGTGGATGGGTTGAGCTGAGGAGTTCATGACCAGCCTGGGCAACATAGTGAAACTCTATCTGTACCAAAAATACAAAAAATTAGCTGGGCGTGGTGGTGTGCAGCTGTGGTCCCAGCTACTCTGGAGGCTGATATGGGAGGATCACTTGAGCCTGGGAGGCAGAGGCTGCAGTGAGCCGAGATCTTGCCACTGCACTCCAGCCTGGGCAACAGAGTGAGACCCTATCTCAAAACAAAACAAAAACCACAGTTAACTGGGATTTTGTAAATAGCTGGGGAATGATGTGAGCTGAGGCAAAACCCGTTTTGGGGACGTTCACAGTCTAATGAGCAACCAGGTAATGCCCAGTGCTCCTGGATGTTTCCTTTTCGAATTGTGGGTTCTTTCCTCTCCCTTTCCTGTTTTAAACCTTTCCACAGGCAAAGTGCAGTGGCTCACACCTGTAATCCCAGCACTTTGGGAGAGCACCTGAGGTCAGGAGTTCGAGATCAGCTGGCCATCATGGCGAAACCCTATCTCCACTTAAAACATGAAAATTAGCCAGGTGTGGTGGTGCATGCCTGTAGTCCCAGTTACTTGGGAGGCTGAGGCAGGAGGATGGCTTGAACCCAGGATGTGGAGGTTGCAGTGAGCTGAGATTGCACTCCAGCCTGTGGGACAGAGCAAGACTCTGTATCAAATAAATAAACAAATAAATAAATAAAACCTTTCAGCAGCATGCCATTGTTCTCAGGAAGCTCTAGCTTATCTACAGGATTCCCTGTAAGGGGAATCCAGTTGCCTGTTTTTCACATTCTCTTTACCATTGATTGATAGGTGACCTTGGGCAAATTCATTGACATCTGCTAGTGCCAGGTTGCTCACCTGTAAAATGGGAGTCATAATCCATGAAATCGTACATTTCAGTGCTTACTACAGTGGTTGATTCATGTAAATGCTCAATAAATAGAAGTACCTCTGAAGCTTCAGAGTCACGTTCCCTTTTCCCCATAGACCCTAGGCTCTAGCTGAGCTGAATTACTTGCCAGTCTCCAAATTCTCTTTAGGCTGTTTTATGACTCGGCCTTCATATATGCTAGTTTCTATTTAAGGTAGTTAACTTGGCTCAAATGTCATCTTCTCTGTCTACTTAGTCTCGTCTCTGTTACTGGACTAAGCTCCTAGAGGGCATGATCAGGAATTATTCATCTGTGATCTCCAGCCCTTAAGCACCTTGCCTGGCACCGTGGAGGCTGGAATATAATGAAGTCTCAGGGGATGTATGGTAGAAGCTGTGGCAGCTGCCGCCTTGGAAAAGACAAAGCCAGGAGCAGAGGCAGAAGCCTGAAGCCAGGACTGAACAAAGTGCATGGGCAGCAGAATGAGGCCACAGATTACTGGGGGAAGAAAGCCATGAACCCAAGTGTGGAGAAAGGAGGACACTCCCAGTACCTGGTGGGACAACCTGGGTTCTGGCCTCAAGGGGCTCCTTCAGAGAGATGTGGGTGACCTGGCAGGTGTAAGTGGCACCTGCAGACCCAGGTTCTGCGGTGAGAGAGGAAGAGATGCTGTAGGTGCCTGCTGCGCTTTGCCTGAGGCTGGAGAAGGAAGCGCCAGAGACTTGGACTGGGGATCCACCCAGTTCCTCTCTGGTCCACGTCACCGCCACATCCAGAGGATAATAGCCAGCAATGTTGCAGACGAGGGTGGGCAGCAGAGCTTCATTTGCCAAGCTTAGTCGTACTTTGGGGGGAGCTGGAGAAAGAATGAGGAATAAGATTACACAGGGATCCAGCTGGGGACAGTGGAGGAACCTGAAGCCTTTTCTTCCTGCCAAGATGAGAGTAGATTGTGGATGCTAAAGTGTCCCTTGGTAGTATACCAAGGCGGAGGCATGTGAGGGGCCCACATGGATGCAGGCCATAATTTGCGGGTTGCATTTTCCAGAAAAGTGATAGTAAAGTCATCTAAAGGTTGGCTGGCACCATTCTAAGCCAGCAATTTTAAAGGATAGCAGTGATGATGGTTAGAACTGTTCCCACTGCCCCGCCTTGGTTTGCTGCTACTGTTCTTCAGGATGTGGCCCAAAAGGACTGAGCTGTTGGAGACAGCCGGCCACAGCAGGGCAGCAGCATCCTGGCCTGGAAATCTTGGTGGAATTATCCTGGAGTCCAATGGACTCTTTTTTTTTTTTTTTTTTTTTTTTTGAGACGGAGTCTCGCTCTGTTGCCAGGCTGGAGTGCAGTGGTAGAATCTCAGCTCACTGCAACCTCTGCCTCCTGGATTCAAGAGATTCTCCTGCCTCGGCCTCCTGACTAACTGGGACTACAGGCACCCACCACCATGCCTGCTTAATTTTTCTATTTTTAGTAGGGAGTGGGTTTCACCATGTTGGCCAGGTTGGTCTTGAACTCCTGACCTCAGATGATCTGCCCACCTCAGCTTCCTAAAGTGCTGGGATTACAGGCATGAGCCACTATGCCCAGCTGGGACTCCTTATCTAATGCCATCTGTGTTTCCAGGGTGAAGATGGCATTTAAATTGTGGGAATGACGCCTGCTTCTCAGGGAATCACTCTTGCGTTTGGGTCCCAGTCTGGAAACACTCCAGTAGGCATTTTCTGTCCCCCTCCCTGGGATAACTGTGTCCTGGCCTCACCTTGGATGTTGAGCTGGATGATCTGCTGAGCTCTGTGCAGAGAGGTGGTGATCTGACAAACATAGGTCCCCTCATCCTGTAGAGTGAGGCTGGGCAATGTGAGGGAGGCATCCCCAGCCATGCCCATCTGTTCAGGCTTCAGGGTAGCGCCCTTCCGCCCAGCCTGCCCCTGCCCTGCGGTCCAGCTGTACACCATCTGACCCTTGCCCTTGTGCTGCAGCCGCCACTCCACATTGATGAGGTCCAAGCCTGGTGCCATGGAGAAGCCACAGTCCAAGGAGGCTGAGGATCCCAGCAGGAAGCTCAGGGATTGGGTCTGTGTCGTCACCTGGAACTCCACTGTCAAGAGGAAAAGAGGGGTGATTTGTGGGCTACTTCCTCCTTGAGGTCACATGATCTTTAAGCTGTGGGCGTGTTATGGGCCTTGCCTCTTCCTCCTTGCCTGGCAGTGAGGCCAGTTGAGCTTATTTTCCATCACATGGAACCACAAAGAAATGGGGTTCTAGAAAGGCAGCATGGTACACATGGCGACCTTTATCATCTTGGGATCACTCACCCCTAGGATAATCTAGTGAAAGCTATGGACCTCTCACCAGGAAATACACATGCAAAATTAAGAGTTACCGTCAATCTTCAGGTAAGAACTACTAGAATAGCCGAAAGAGCTCTGAAACCCTGGTTGTTCTGCTTACTGGCTCTGTGACCTTTGACAAGTCACTTAGTGTTACAAAGCTCACCTGTTTAAGCAAGGATACCATGAAGACTAGGAAAGAGACTTTAAAAAGCACTTAGTAGTAGTGACTGTGCCAAACATGCTTAACCTAAATCCAGTCAGGAGGAAAACAATCAGACAAATCTAAATGGTGGGATATTCTGCAAGACCACTAGCCTGGACCCTTCAAAGATGTCAATTCTGTGAAAAATGCTCTAGATTAAAACAAGGAACAGCACAGCTAAATGCAGCGCATGATTCTTGTTTCAATTGTGTACTTAGAAAAAGAAAGCAGTGAAAAACATTATTGGGACAAGTGGAGAAATTTGAATTTGGAGACATTTAATTAATTTTTTTTTAAGAGACAGGGTCTCAGTCCAGGCACAGTGGCTCACATCTGTAATCCCAGCACTTTGGGAGGCCAAGATGGGCAGATCACTTGAGATCAGGAGTTCAAGACCAGCCTGGCCAATATGGTAAAATCCCATCTCAACTAAAAATACACAATTAACCAGGTATGCCAAGTGCAGTGATGCATGCCTGTAATCCCAGCACTTTGGGAGGCCAATGTGGGTAGATCACAAGGTCAAGAGATCAAGATTATCCTGGTCAACATGGTGAAACCCCATCTCCACTAAAAATACAAAAATTAGCTGGGTGTGTTAGCCTGCAGCTGTAGTCCCAGCTACTTGGGAGGCTGAGGCAGGAGAATCACTTGAACCCGGGAGGTGGAGGTTTCAGTGAGCCAAGATCTCGCCACTGCACTCCAGCCTGATGAAAGAGCAAGACTCCATTAAAAAAAAAAAATTAGCTGGATGTGGTGGTGGGTGCCTGTAATCCCAGCTACTTGGGAGACTGAGGCACAAGAGACAGGGTCTCCCTATGTTCCCAGGCAGGACTTAGACTCCTGGGCTCAAGCAGTCCTCCTGCCTCAGCCTCCTGAGCAGCTGGGACTACAGGTGTGCACCACCATGCCCTGGACTTCATAGTTGAGGCTACTACTGTATCAATTTAAAAATATCTTCAAGTATGAAGAGCAGTGGCATACTAGGCAGTGGTGTGGAGAGATAGGGACAGTCTGCCCTGGCAGGGAGGAGTATTTTATCACTGATACTGTTCAGAATTGCTGATGTTGGGAGATGGTGACACTATAAAGCCATTTGACTTTCAGCTGATTTTATTATTCTGAATTTTTTTTTTTTTTTGAGATGGAGTCTCTGTTGTTACCCAGGCTGGAGTACAATGGTGAGATCTCGGCTCACCGCAGCCTCCGCCTCCCAGGGTCCAGCAATTCTCCTGCCTCAGCCTCCCATGTAGCTGAGATTACAGGTGCACGCCACCATACCTGGCTAATTTTTGTATTTTTAGTAGAGAGGGGGTTTCACCATGTTGGCCAGGCTGGTCCTGAGCTCCTGACTTCAGGTGATCCACCCGCCTCAGCCTCCCAAAGTGCTGGGATTACAGGCGTGAGCCATTACACCTGGCCTGTTCTGAAATATTTTACACACTGCGCCTCCTTACTGCCTGCACCATGGGTAAACTACTCCCCCACTTCGGTTTGTTTCTGACACGGTGGTTTGTGACCATGAAGGATTACATCCTTGTCCTTGACTGTAAACTAATACATGCTATGCATGGGAGCATTTGGGGTTCACGTGTTGTCTTTTGCAGCTTGCTCTCAGTTCAGAGGAAAATACACACCCATATACACACATACATACACATACACACACACACGGGGCTGCGGGGAGAGAGAGAATGTGGCAGAATAGTAACAATTGGTGGATCTAGGTGTAGGGTATATGGGTGTTCATTATATTATTATTTCACCTTTTTTTGTAGGTTTGAAATAAAAAGAGGGAAATACCTCCCCATACCAGGAGTATAGTAGACACTGGACAGACATGAAGACCTGTTTTTTCTAATGTGGCAGGATAGATTTGGGGACCACAGAGAGGTTAGAGTGTTTTGGGGTTTTCCAAGGATAGGAAGTTTGCCCCCTAATCTTCTCTGGACTTCGTTGTCTCTTCTTGGAGACACAAAAAAGTGGGGCACAGAGTATTGGATTAATGGGCTCTGTAGAACCCTGTCGTCGTGTTCTCAATTTCTGGTGCCCTTGAGGATGTGCTGAGCTGGTGAGAACAGGTACTGGGTTTGCTAGTAAGATAATGAACAAATGATGCATCCCTGAGCTTTACTCCTGAAGCCCTAGACCAGGCTAGCCTTTCACTGGGAGAAAACTGGGTTTTGGCTCAATAAGACTACAATGGGCAGCACCCATGAGCAGAATAGCGTCATGTGTCTTACTTCTGCATGGCATCCCAGTGAGATGCGAATGCGCTCCATTTTGGAAATAACCCACAGGTTGTCTCTATGCTTGGACCTTCAGATAGGGGCTTCCAAGCATTCCCTTGTAGACTCAAGGGTTTTGTTTTTGTTTTGTTTTGTTTTTTTGAGATGGAGTCTCACTTAGCCTTCCAGGCTGGAGTACAGTGGCGCAATCTTGGCTCACTGCAACCTCCACCTTCTGGGTTCAAGCACTTCGGCCTCAGCCTCCCAAGTTGCTGGGATTACAGGTACCTGCCACCACACCTGGCTAATTTTCGTTATTAGTAGAGATAAGGTTTCACCATGTTGGCCAGGCTGGTCTTGAACTCCTGACCTCAGGTGATCCACTGGGCTCGGTCTCCCAAAGTTCTGGGATTACAGGCATGAGTCATCACGCCCAGCCTTGCTTTTCGTTTTCTTACCTGCAGTTCCCATAGTCCCCTGGGGGTTCAGGAGGAAATTCAGCATCGGTTGCCGGAAAGCCTCATTCTCAGCATCGCTGAGAGCCTTCATCACCAGGGAGATACTTGGTCCCTCTTCAGAGACCTGCACGTTGGCCATGAACCAAGCTGTTGGCTCAACAGTGGCTTCTCTCGTCCGGGGAAAGTAGCGGGAGATCTCACAGGTCACCTCCTTTCCGCTGCAGTCAGCGTGGAGCAAGGCCTCGGCCTGGGGAATCTGGACCAGGTCCACTGGAGAGAAGGGGGCACACATGGAGGGCAAATTAGAGTGAGAACACCAGGGCCAACGGGAAGCAGTGTGTGTGTTTGTAATCGGAACCTGGGCTGTCCTGGTGGAGGGAGCCCAGGAGGACCAAGGACATAGGTGGAAGGCTTTTACCTGAGGCCTTGAAGATAACAGGTGGGTCATCTTGGGCCAGCATGCCCCCTTGGAAATCAGTGAAGTCCTCCAGGGAGCCATCGTCCAGCACTGGCACCTGCCTCAGCACGAGGGAGGCCCTCCCTCTGTCTTCACTGCTGGCAAGAGCTGTATGGTGCTCACTGTCCTTTACCAGGAAGCAGTCTAGGACCACGTCCACTGCCCGCCACTGCCTCTCTGCTGTGTGAGGCTCTGCAGACAAAGGCTGGGGTGAGCAACCTCTTGCCCAGAAAGCTACTCCACACTTGCTCCGCCCCACCCCAACAAACTGTGGCATCATCAAAGGGTAAAACTTGCCCTCCAGGATCCTAGCTGTCTCTGTGGCCCTCTATTCTCCTATCGTCCCCCAAACCGGTTTTCTGGAGAGCACCTGCTAGTACAGGCAAATACCTCTTGGTGTGGGTTATTTAAAGTCCTAGACTTGCCTTGCTCAGAGGGGTTTATGCTTTTATTTCCAACTGTTGAATGAAAGACTATCTTTTCAGTCAAAAGAATTCTCAGAAAAAAAGCAAGTGCCACAGCAGGGAGAGGAGACTGAACACTTGGGGTCGCTGGGGAGCTGACAGCCTGCACTGCTTTCTCCCATTACGGGTAGCCTTCCCCTCCCCTGCCTTCAAGGTCGCCTTCCAAGTGATTTCCTGGCCTGGGGAGTCCCCTCCTCTTCTGAAGTATCAACTCCCAGGCCAGTGCCCTCTCTGTAGGACAGTGGCTCCTGACCATGGCCACAGAGGCGGCCCCTCTCCAGCCTTTTCCCTGTGGAGCATCCAGCCTCCCTCCCCACGCAATATTGGTTCCTTCCGTTGCCAGCCGCTGAGCCTTTCCCCTGTTGGGCTTAGAAGGTGATTGGGTCATCCCCGGCCCCTTTGCTCTTCTGGAATCTCGGGGAGGGTGGCACCCTGGTGCTTCACTAGCTCTTCTCCCGGCCAGCTCTCCCTGACTCCCCTGACTCACTGGTTTCTGCTGCTCCAAATAGAACCAGGCACATCAGCAGGCACAAGCCCTCCTCCATGCCCATGGAGGCTGCTCTCGAGTCCCCTTCTCGCCCACTGTCATCCGCAGTCCTACCCCGCTTTCGAGGCTCGGTGGGAGAAGAGGGGCTCTCCAAGCACCCCTGGCTAGCCAGCAGCCTGTGGGTTTCTTTTCTGTTCCCTCTGCTGCCGACTTCTCTTTCACTTTCACTTAGAGCAAATGTCACTGGCGCCTGTGTCTCTGGGTGAAGCCGTTTGCAGCAGCTGCCAGGTCCTGCCTGCTGTTCTCGTTTTTCTCCACCCACCTCACCCAGAAATCCCTAGGTGATTTCAAGACCTGACTTCTGCACCCTTTGCTCCCCACGCATCCCAAGAAAGTGGAGCTATAACTGTGGGAAAGTCAAACACAGGATTCCCGGTAGCCTGGGGACCTTTCTCACCCCCACCCCCAGCAGGGCCCAACACAACCGGCTGAGAAGGCTCCTCTGCCAGATTCTGACCTGAGCCAGGAGGCGGGTAGCGGTCTGGGTTTTGGGACTGGAATTTTAGAGAGGAAGCTGGAGCTGCAGGGTGGTCATCTGTCACTTTATTTCGCCCGTCTTGTAGCATGTGAACCTTTCGAATTAGGAAGTGTGTTTTACAACCAGAGCCCCTGCCCTCCTGCAGCGCAGGTGCAGCTGGCCAGCCTCCTGCTTCCCACCCTCCACCTCATCCTTATTTGTCCTTGTCCCTGCCAGTCTCGAAAAGGCACTCTGTCACAGGTGTACACATGAAAGGCCCTGAAAAGAGGATGGGGCTGCAGTTGCGGCTGCCAGGTCTCACTCTCCCTGGATGGTTGGCGGTGTGGGGTGGAGGCCAGGGCTGTAATGCAGCTCCCGCAGGCACTGGCTCAGGGGGAGGAGGTAGGCTCCGGTTTTCGGTAATCCTCCTGGATGGGGATGGTGCTGCCCTCCTCCTCCCTGGGGCAGCTGTAAGGACAAGGCTCTGCAGGCTCCACAGGACTTTCTCCTTTGTCTGCAGAAGGAGATCCAATGAGTCTTGGCCAGCAGTGGGGGCAGGGAGAGAAGGGAGGAAGAGATGGGCAGAGGGGGAGGGGCGTCAGGAGCATGCCGGCTAAGGGGAGAGAAAGCGTAGGACCGAGGCTGGTGAAGATGGAGCTGGTGGGTTTCAGTGAGATTCCAGGCGTGGGCAGTGGGGTTGAGCCGGTGGGGTGTGGTGCAAGGGCAGGGCTGGAGACCTGTATTCTGTTTCTTACTTGATCTATGTTTCCTTTGTTGATGGAGGAACAGGGCTCCAGCCAGGGTAAAAACAAGAAACGTTCCAGAGAAGATCACAAGGATGCGAATAAAATCTGAGCTGCACAGGGAGCTTTGGGCTGTGATAGGCAGGAGCCACACAGGGGTTAGGGGAGGGTCTAGCCCTCAGCTCCCTGAGCCCAGCCCTCCCGTCACCTTGCCTCTCCCCTTTCCCCCACCTTCTCTTCCACCCCCACCATTGGCCAAGTTCTCTCCTAATTGCTGGAATCTGCTTTTTCCACTCCTCTTCTTACCCCTACTTCTAGGAGCTTTCTGTCTGGCTTCCCTTTTGGCCCCTCCTGTATGCATTCTTTCTAGTGGCGGGGATTAGGGAGAAAACTCACCTGGCCAGTGGGTAGAGGGAGTTGGGGCAGGCAGCTGCCTGAAGCCAGCCAGGGTCTGCATGTGCCCAGCTGTCCTGGCTTCCAGCATCTCTGGAAAAACAGACAGAATGAATAGCAGCAGGGAACCCCATAGGGCACATCTGAAGGCCTGAGAGGCCCTGGATGGGATGGGAAGGCAGAAACAGGCTGACCTTATCTAGGGGTAGGAGTGGGGAGTACTGGTTGGGGTGTCACCTCTACCCCAAGCGATGGCACAGTGGGTTGCCTGGAACTTACCACTGACATAAGGTAAGTGGGTGGGCTGAAGGTGTGGGTCCAGGGCCTGAGACAGCTGAGTGGTCAGCAAAGTGTCTGGAGGTGGATCACACTCGGTGCACTCCTTGTCCCGGCACTGCCAGCCATCGGGACAGGCACACTCGGCATTGGCAGTGATGGTGCAGTTGCGAATGAGAAGACCTGGGGGAAGAGGAGGACCAGGGAGCCTAAGACAGCAGGCCTGTGGAGACCTTTGAGGTCCACTTGCTTCGTCCTGCAACCCCCATCTCAGGCCCACCTGTAGGGATGTGCTTCCCTTTTCCATTCCCACCCCTGTCCCCCAGTGCCTTTGCCACTGTTATGGTTATTAAAGAAGAAAGTTGGATCTTTTGGAAGGAAGATTCATCAGTTCAGACATAGAAACTCTGAAAAGTAGAAGGAACTTACATACATTTCTCTTATGCTCCTGATACTTTTATTTTCTTTTTTTCTTTCTTTTTCTTTTTGAGACAGGGTTTCACCATGTTGGCCAGGCTAGTCTCGAACTCCTGGCCTCAAGTGATCCACCTGCCTCTGCCTCCCAAAGTGCTGGGATTACAGGCGTGAGCCACCATCCCTGGCCTACTTTTTTTTTTATTTTTTTATTTTTTATAATAAAGACGGGGTTTCACCATGTTGGTCAGGCTGGTCTTGAACTCCCGACCTCAGGTGATCCACCCGCCTTGGCTTCCAAAGTGCTTGGATTACAGGCATGAGCCACCACACCCAGCCTATTTTTATTTTTGTTTTTTGAGATGGAGTCTCACTCTTATTGCCCAGGCTGGAGTGCAGTGGCACGACTTTGGCTCACTGCAACCTCCACCTCTTGGGTTCAGGCAATTCTCCTGCCTTAGCCTCTTGGGTAGCTGGGATTACAGGTGCCCGCCACCACCCGTGGCTAATTTCTTATATTTTTAGTAGCAACAGGTTTTCACCATGTTGGCCGGGCTGACCTCAGGTGATCACCCGCTTTAGGCTCCCAAATCGCTAGGATTACAGGCGTGAGCCATTGTGCCTGGCTCCTGATACTATAATAACTTTTAATTGAAGTATAATATATATACAAAGAGGCACATGAGGATAAAGCTGAAGAATTTGTACAAATTTGGCTCACAGGCATAACAGCACCAGTTAAAGAAATAGAAAATAGCCAGGTGCAGTGGCTCACATCTGTAATCCCAGCACTTTGGGAGGCTGAGGTGAATGGATTATTTGAGCTCAGGAATTCCAGACCAGCCTGGCCAACATAGTGAAACCCCATCTCTACAAAAAATACAAAAATTAGCTGGGCATGGTGGCACATGCCTGTAGTCACAGCTACTGGGGAGGCTGAGGTGGGAGGATCGTTTGAGCCCATGAGGCAGAGGTTGCAGTAAGCTGAGATCATGACACTGCACTCCAGTCTGGGTGACAGAGTGAGACCCTGTCTCAAACACCACCACCAAAAAACAAAGTACATTAGAGATTTCCAGGGGCTGGAGATGGGGACGAGGACATTGGGAAGAGATGGGGAGTTATTGCTAAGGGGTATGGGTTTCTTTGGGGTGAAGAAAATGTTATAGAATTAGATAGTGTTGATGGCTGCAGAACTTATGAATACATTAAAATAAATAAACAGTTACTTTGCCTTTTTTTTTTTTTTTTTTTTTTTTTGAGACAGAGTCTTGCTCTGTCGCCCAGGCTGGAGTGCAATGGAGCGATTTTGGCTCACTGCAACCTCCGCCTCCTGAGTTCAAGCAATTCTCCTGCCTCAGCCCCTTGAGTAGCTGGGATTACATGTGCCACCATGCCCAGCTAATTTTTTGTATTTTTAGCAGAGACAGGGTTTCACCCTATTAGCCAGGATGGTCTCCATCTCCTGACATTGTAATCAGCCCGCCTCGGCCTCCCAAAGTGCTGGGATTACAGGAGTGAGACTTTGCCTTTAAAATATACATTTTGCTCAAGTGTAGGGGTCTGATGCTGGTCTTAATTATCCTGGGGGCAGAGGTGGTGGCACTAGCTGGGCTGGGCTGGGCTCTCTGGCAGCTGGTTTGAGAGGAGGGTGATTCAGAGGAAGACAGTGACACCCAGGTGTGGGATGGGCTGCAAGGGAGCCTGGTGGGCCTTAGGGCAGATACTTGTGCAGACCCAGGGAGTCCTAGGAGTCTTGACAGGTGGAAGAAGGGCGCGGAAAGGCAGGGTGTCAAAGATCATAACCCAATCTAACAGTTTTCTTCCACTTATGCCTTTTGTCAGGACAGGGAGAGGGACAAATTCCTTCTTGGCATCCTTATGGTCCTGTGACCTAATGAATGCTGACTCTGAGTTGCTACTACAATTTGGTTTCCTTGTGGCTTCCCAGGAATTGTGAGCCAGGTTGGATAAGGACCTGCAAGGGAAGAATGAGGAGGCCTGGGACAGTGCGGGAGGGGAGAGCATTGGTGGTAGGAAGGAGTGATGACAAGGGTCTCTGCTAAAACGGAAATGGAAGGGTTAAAGAAGGGCATGGGGAAGGTTAGAAACAATGAGGTGCCATTGTTTCAGTGGTGAGTATCTGGAGACCTGGGGGTTCTATTTACCAGGTATAGCCTGAGCTCAAAATTCCAGGCTGGGCCCCACTCAGGCTCGCATCTGTAATCCCAGTACTTTGGGAGGCTGAGGCGGGCAGATCACCTGAGTTCGGGAGTTCAAGACCAGCCTAACATGGAGAAACCCCGTCTCTACTTAAAAAAATACAAACAATTAGCTGGGTGTGGTGGCGCATGCCTGTAATCCCAGCTACTCAGGAGCTTGAGACAGGAGAATCACTTGAACCTTGGAGGTGGAGATTGCGGTGAGCAGAGACCACGCCATTGCACTCCAGCCTGGGCAACAAGAGTGAAACTCTGTCTCAAAAAAAAAAAAAAAAAATCCAGGCCGACTTCAGACACTTCCTCATCTCACAGATGTCAGCACTGAGGCCCAGAGAGGAGCAAACTCATTCAGCCACCCGTCTTCTCGCCCCTGGCCGCAATCCCTGGGGTCCTTCTGCAGCCAGATGCTGCTGTGGTACTTTGGGGTCTATTGGCTGAGCTCCCAGAGAAGGGGCATGGGTTGGGCCAGTCTGGAACAAGTGAAGGGACTGAGGATGGGCTCAGTATGGGGCGAAGACCTTCAGGTAGGGTCTGCAGAGTGAGTAGGGAAGTTTTCACTAAGAAAAATTCTGCACTACTGCAGATAGTATACTTCTTAGTTAAAAAGAGATGGAACTATAAAATAAAAACACAGGCCACATACACACTAATTTTTTCAAATTGGCTTTTGTGCAAAAAAGGTTGTTACCTATTGGCTTGTTTTGTTATTTCCTTAGAAAGAAGTGTTCCAAATTCCCAAGGGCCAACCTACACATGTACACTCTGGGAACACAGCCAGTTTATGGGTTGGGGGTTGCTTGTCTGAAATCTGGGGTCATAGAGCCACTCCCCTCATTTGATTGTCTTGATCCTATCCATAGATGCATTCTCACCAGCCCCCCAATTCTATTTATCCCTTTCCTTGAAATACTAGACTTCTGCCCATGTTAATTCATGCCCCACCTAGGGTGCCCCATTTCCCAGCATTGGCTCCACTTGCTGTGAGCCCTGAAGAAGGCTGAAGCTTTGACCGCCTCATCCTCCTTGCCCCCCAAACCCATCGCCAGCCTTGCTCCCCCAAATGCTTGTCCAGTGTTCCCACCCACACACCCTTGCCCACCTCACCAGAGTTGCAGTGCCGACAGCTCTCACAGTGGGGCCGGGCGTGGTGGTCTGGAGAGAAGGAGACCCCGGGTACGCAAGGGTCACACTGAGCAGCCTTTCTGTGCTGGTCACAGTCCTTCACAAGGAATGTTCCTGGGAGCAGAGGGTAAGGGATCAAGGCCCGAGAAGGGCTGATTCTCTGTCCTCTTCAAGATGGTGCCTCCCCGCAGCTGCAGGATTTCTCCCCTTGCTTGAGCTCAGTCTCACCCTGTGCCTATTTACTGAATTGGCCCCAGTCCGCTCTCCTTTGGCACTCACCTGGCCCCTGCCAAGGCCCCTCTTACCTGGTGCACACATCTGGCAGCACAGCTTTGCCTGAGCCCAGTAGTGCCTTTCTGGGCAGCTCTTGGGGGCTGGAGTAGCTGAGAGCCCCACCAGGGTCCCCAGAATGCACAGCCACCAGGGATGTGGCCGTGCCATGGTTCCTGCCCAGGAAGCTCCTTCTGTGCCCAGTTGCTGACCGCTGGCCTCTGCAGTTAGCACCTCCAAGCTGGGCGCTGCTGTCTCTTCTTTGCAACCCCTGGGCAGTGGCTGCTTCAGGTGACAAGCCAACCTTTGAAGGCAGAAGCTCTGTTGTGGCGGCTTTTTTTTTCCTCTCATAGCAGCAACCTCCACCCCCTCCCTCCTTCCGTGTGCTGGGGAGAGTATTAAGGCAGACTCCGTCAGACCTGCTGCTTTTTAAACATGCCTCCTCTGACACACGAGCCTCCCTTAGTTTCCGCCTCTCCTGCTCATGAAGCCTGTAACCCACCTACTCCTGCTTCTGTGACAAAACGATGATGGATGCACACAGTCGCCCACCCCTCCTATTTATGCACTTGTGCACAAAGGTGCCCACGTTACCCACCCCCATCCGCAGTTTGCAAATGAATCCACGTGTCTCCTGTCGCCTGTACCTGCATCCCTCCTTCCTCAGACAACAGTTGAAAGAAGGAAGGAGAACCAGAATTGAGCACAGGCCCACAAGCTCTTACGTGAAATTTTGGGGTTCAGATGAGTTTTGGCATTCAGAATTTTTCAGCTTTCTATAGAAACTAGCACCACAAAACACTCTTGGGGAGTTGAGTAGCCTCATAATCAAACGAAACATTTCTGCAGCAAAACTATTGAATATTTACACCAAGTGGGATGAACCTCAAATAGCCTTGTCTCAACTGAGGTCTGGTTTGATGACCCAATGAGTTTGCTATAGAATTGCTCAGAATTGCAGACAAGGGGCATAGGCCGGCCTCTCTTCTGTCACCCTCCTGCAGGTCACATATGCTCTCCTTTAATCCTATGTCAGCCTCTGATGTGGGTGCCAACTACCGAGTACCAGCTTGGCCGGGAGACCCCCATCCAGGCGGTGCTGAAGGCAATGAGAGGGAGACACCCAGACAGAACAGCAAAGTGGGTCTATCTGGGGGGTGGGGGGCGAACAGCCTACTGAGCTGAGAGCCTCAGGGGCTGACAGCATTCCAGGCTGAAGGCCCTGAGCAGATTTTGATCCACGTGTTTATTCTCTCTTAACAGGTGATTCTTATTAATAAACAGGTGTTCTGTAGTTACTCATAACTCAAAAATATTCCAAGTAGGCAGCTGTTACCCGCTTAACACTAATTACAAACGAAAGGGTATTCTCCACAAGGGGCCATGGGGCTGGGGTAAACTTAATGTCTCTCAACAGCCACCCACTGCCCACCTGGCCTTCCCTCTCAGCCCCTTGCTGCCTCACCTTTATGCCATCTTTCTCCTCCCCTTCCCACCTCTGGCTGTGTCAGTCACTGGTGTCCTGGATCACCTGGGGCATCTTCTCTCCCAGCCTTGGGCACTGGGATTAAAGGTAGCTTCTGGCAGGGGTCATCTCGTTTGTACTTTCCCAGTTCTCCCCGCAAGACTGATTTGGGGATATTGGAAACAGCTAGACTTTTCTTTCTTTGAGTCCTGGGAACACACATGGATCAGCAACCTCCTCTACTCTTTCCTTGGGGACCGAGATACAGAGTGGCTTATTTCCCCAGGAAGTTTTTCATTCAGGGGCTTTGCAGTTGTTTCCGCACTGCTCATAAATGTCACACTGCTGTGGTCACACCTGTCAGATCGGTTCTCTATCTCACTCTGTAGTTTCCTTTCTCTTCATTTTCTCCATTCTCTTGTCTTTTCCCAGCCCCCTGTGCAGCTCTTCTTGGGGGTCTACTCAAGTCGGAAGCCACATCTGGGTGTGATTTAGAGAGCTGTTTATGGAAAACCACTTTTTTTCACCATCAGGCAGGGCGCCCGAATTCCCACCGCAGAGAGTGCTGTGGGGCGGCCCGAGGACTTTTCTGTCGCCAGCCATTTCCAGGTTGTGGTAAATGTCTTCTTAGCTAGTCTTAAGCCTCAAGGCAAGCATGGGGCAGTGGGTTGCTAGCTGACAGCAGGCCCTAGGAGGATGGATGAGACACTCGGGAGAACGATGAGGAACCAGAGACCTTTAGGAAGAAATCTGTAGAACAGGGACTTGGAGTTCCAGCCTAGCAACCTTGAGCCAACTGGGAACTGCCCACTCGCCTAAGGCCTCTGTCCTCTGGGCCAAAGCCCATCTCCTGTCTTCTACATATCTCTTTTCCAGGGGTCACAGCAGAAGCAGGGGCTGCTTGGCTCTCCTGGAGGACCCTGGCCAAGAGGAGGAAAGCCAGGTTTCTAGGCCTTTTTCTTTCCTGTGCAAATAGAATGAGCTCATCTCCAGCGCTCTTTGCATCCACTTCTGGTGAGCCTTCCCCTTCCAAGGCCGGCTCCTTGGACAGGACCCTTCCATTCCACCCCCACCCCATCTCACTCTGTCACCCAGGCTGAAGTGCAATGGTTCAATCTTGGCTCACTGCAACCTCCATCTCTTAGGCTCAAGCAATTCTCCTGCCTCAGCCTCCTGAGTAATTGGGATTACAGGTGCACGCCACCATGCTCAGCTAATTTTTGTATTTTTAGTAGAGATGGGGTTTTGCCATGTTGGCCAGGCTGTACTGGAACTCCTAGCCTCAGGTGATCTGCCTGACTCAGCCTCCCAAAGTGCTGGGATTACAGGCATGAGGCACCATGCCTGGCAGGGCCCTTCCTTTGTCTACAGGCCCTGGGAGTACAGCCTGCTGACATCTTCCTCGAAATCTTACACCACCATTTTCTCTTTTGGGGTCAGCCTCTCCCCCATGCCTGGCTGGGACATAAAATATATGGTATTTTCTCAACAGTCCTCTGCTTTTCTTTCCTCTCCAGAGACAGACCCACAGAAGCCTTTCTCGAGAACTCCGAGGACTCTCATGACTTTTTTGTTCCTGTTTTTTTCTTGAGATGGAGTCTTGCTTTGTCACCAGGCTGGAGTACAATAGCCCAATCTTGGCTCACGGTAACCTCCGCCTCCCAGGTTCAAGCAATTCTCTTACCTCAGCTTCCCTAGTAGCTGGGATTACAGGCACCTACCACCACACCTGGCTAATTTTTGTATTTTTAGTAGAGATGGGTTTTCACCATGTTGGCCAGGCTGGTCTCAAACTCCTGACCTTAGGTGATCCACCTGCTTCAGCCTCCCAAAGTGCTGGGATTACAGGCATGAGCCACTGCATCCAGCCTCTCATGACTTTTGAGAGGGACTGAGCAACCCTCCACCTGGTCCAGTGGCTGTAGCCTAGATGTCAGCCAGGGGCAACCTGCTCCTGAAAACCTATATAAGATGTTTCTTGCTCCCCACTCAGGAAAAGTCCTTGGCAGGCTGTCCACCTGCACTAGTTCCAGTGGGTCTGGTGTCCTCATGGCCACCTCTGGTTCTGATTTCTCTTTTAGCCGAAGTCTTGTTCTTGCCTCCGTGTCTCCTGTCTGTTCCCTTACTTGTACCCTGCCTCAGGCCCAAAATGGGAGACACGATACTTGCTTAAAGTTTCCTCTAAACCAGCTCTAAACAGAAGACTGTTACATGTGGCAGACCTTTTCTTTTTTCTCCAATTTTTATAAAGCAATGATGTGTTAAAGCACTCAGCAGGACCAATCTCTGCAAGACCTTTCCTTAGGAGGAAGTTCTGTTATAGGACAAAGATGTCCTCAATCACTGTTCTTGACTTAGGGCTCCTGAGTCTCATCACCCGAAGGTCTGAGTTTATGTGGCCTTCTTTGACTCCTGCTCCCCATTCCTTCCTCCCCAACTCCCACTTTTCTTTGATGACCACCGCCAGCACCGCTGCCCCCGACACCTTAAAGCCTCCTTCCCAGCAAGGCTTTGTTTGAGAGGCCACCTGGGCAGGACAGTGAGTTAAGCTCATTAGTGAGGTTCTGGGTCCTCACAGCTCTGTAATTTGCATTTCTGCACCTCCCCAGTCTGAGTGACACAGGGCACGGACCAACAATGGGTATTTCCAGCCTCTGCCCATGCCTCAGAAGCCCAGCACAGCTCCCAGTGTCCGCTAGCACATAGGCACTGGCTAAACATTGGATGGTCCAGCTCAGCTTTGTGCCCTAGGGGCTCTGTCCACAATTATACAACGGAAATGTCAGAGGGCTCAAGACCCCTTAGATCTCCTCATTCATTTGACAAGTGGTTGTTGCACATCCATTTTGTGTTAGAAACCAGTTAAGTGATGGGGCACAAAGATAAAAAACAAATATGTGGTTTCTGCCCTGATGGAGTCGACACATCAGGGTGAGAGTCAGACGTTAATCACATAATCTCAAAGACAAATGTAAAATTGGCCAGGTGAGGTGGCCCACACCTGTAATCCCAGTCACTTTGGGAGGCCAAGGCAGAAGTATTGCTTGAGCCCAGGAGTTTAAGACTAGCCCGGGCAACAGAGTAAGACCCTGTCTCTACATACAATAAAAAAAAAAATTAACTGGGGGTTGGGCACGGTGGCTCAGGCCTGTAATTCCTGCACTTTGGGAGGCCAAGGTGGATGGATCACCTAAGGTCAGGAGTTCAAGACCAGCTTGACCAATATGGTGAAACCCCATCTCTACTAAAAATATGAAAATTGGCCGGGCATGATGGCGTGGGCATGGTGGTGTGTGCCTGGAGTCCCAGCTACTCAGGAGGCTGAGACAGGAGAATTGCTTGAACCCAGGAGGCAGAGGTTGCAGTGAACTGAGATTGTGCCGCTGCACCCCAGTCTGGGAAACAGAGCGAGACTCCATCTCAAAAAACAAACAAAACAAAGACAAAAAATAAATTAACTGGGTGTGGTGACACATGCCTGTGGTCCCAGCTACTCGGGAGGCTGAGGTGGGAGGATCGCTTGAGCCCAAGAGGTCCAGGCTGTGGTGAGGCATGATTGTGCCACTGCACTCAAGCCTGGGTGATAGAGCAAGACCTCATCTCATAAAACCCAAAAAACAAAACAGAATTAAAATTCGTTAGTCATGGTCATTATTGCTCTGAAGGAGAGAGTTGGGGTGCAATATGGTGTCTGTCCCCCAACAGGGGGGTTCATGGGGTGGGGAGTGCTTCAACCAGGAAGCAAAGTTCAACAGAGATATGTGGGATCTGGCAACTCCCTACCTCTGTGAGAATTGTTAGTTCCCTTGGCTTCTGTGCAGCACCCCATTTTCCATTCTTTGACCACTTGTTTTTTAAGTGCTATTTTTTCTTTTTTTATATACAGATTATATACAATAGGGATTATCTGTTCCTTGAAAGCCTGGTAGAATTTGATTGCTTGTGTGTGTATGTGTATTTCAAGTGTAGATGTTTCACTGTCGTCTCGCTCTGTCACCCAGGCTGGAGTGCAGTGGCGCGATCTTGGCTCACTGCAACCTCCGCCTCCTGAGTGGCTGGGAT